AAAAAAAAAAAAAAAAGACAAGCTTGAAAAGTAACCTTGAAAGCTGACTACAGAACTGAAGCACCGAGTGGGGAAGGTGGGGGTGAGGGGTAAGAATAAAGAGGGAAGGAAGCACAATGAACGATGGTGAAGGACTATGGGCGATTTGGTGATAGTGCACAACAATGGTCATACCTGATGGGGGCATCCAAATATTGCTTCAATTAAAAATTAATGAATTAGGGCCCTCCCTGTTGGTGCAACTTGTTAATGCGCACTAGGAAGGCAGCAGCAATTGCTTCAGCATGAGTTCCATCTCTGGCCAGGGAGGTGGCTCATGTGTCCCAGCACACCTCTCCTGCCTTGCCCACTGCTCCCCTCAACAGTGTATTTCAGTCTGCCTGTTCTGCTTCCCATTCTGTCTCCAGTGAGTCCACTCACCCCCCAAAAAAGTCTGGCCTGTACCCCAGTTCTTGTATGCATAAATAAACCTTAAAAATAAAATATAAAAAAAATTCATACAACTAACAACAACAAAAATCAAACAACCCAATTTAAAAAAGGGCAGAAGACCTGAATGGACATTTATTCAAAGGAGACTTTCAGATGGCCACATGAGAGGTTGCCCATCATCCATTATTATTAAGGACTTGCAAATCAACTCCCTCTGAGGCATCACTTTATACCAGTTACCTCTAACAAAAAAGTCAAGAAACAGCAAGCGTGACTGACGCTATCCAGGCGAACACTTGTACGCTGTTGGTGGGAATATAAATTGTTGTGGTCACCATGGAAAGCACTCTGGAGATTTCTCAAAGACTTAATTATAGAAATACCATGTGATCATTATTCCATTTATGGTATTTATCCAAAGAACATGTACACTGTTTTACTTGATTATTTATATATTTTACATCATACTTCATTTTTGTACAATGTATGCTTTCTCCTCTCAGATGTAGTCCCCGTTAAATTTCCAGCACCAGGAACATGTTTTAAATTGATCTGGAGGTTGAAGGGCATGACTTTATATGGTATCCAGCATTATATTTCTTATATGTTTGAACTTTTATGCTTTCTTTTGTGGCGTTTAGAGAGACAGAACTTAGGAAGAGAATTTTAGATTCTTTAAAAAAATTACAGTTCAGTAAAATTGGTCCTGGAACAAAAAATTATACCCTTCAATACAACTTTTATGTTCATACCCAAGGTAATCAGCTGGATGATGAGTGTTCTAGTGTTTGTTATTCAGCATTTTTAAAGTTGTGTTAGAAGAATACCTACATTAGACTTGGAAGTTTATTAAAAAATTAAAATTCTGTGTCCCACCACTCATCAGAATCTGGGGAAAATCTAAGAATTCACATCTTAAATAAGCTGTCCAGGCTAATTTTAAAAATAGATTTATTTATTTATGCATACAGAACTGGGGTGCAGGCCAGATGTGCAGGAACAGTGAAAGGATCACCAGAGACAGAGTTGGGAGCAGAACAGGCAGATCTACTGAAATAGGGGAGCAGTGGGCAAGGCCGGAGAGGTCTGCTGTGCCATGTGGATCACCTCCCTGGGCTGGGATCGAACTTGCACAGAAGTCTGTGCAGCTAACTTGCAGTGCTGCATCCCAAACTGTTATGCCAACAGGGAGGGCCCATAATGCTTTTTTAAACTCCCCAGGTGACGCCACTATGGAGCAGAGTCGGAGGAGCACTGTTAAATAGTAGGCAGGCAACATTTAATACTACTGCAGTTTTACAGGCCAGAGATGCGGAGGGTGAGAGGATTCACCAGGGACAGATGGGGGAGCAGAACAGGCAGATCGACGATGAAGTACACTGCTGAGGGGAGCAGCAGGCGGGTCAGGAGAGGTCTGCCACACCATGTGGATCTCCTCCCGGGCAGGCAGGGATTGAACTCATGCGGAAGTGGCTTTAGCTTCTTAGTGCAGTGCTTTAACCCGCTGTGCCACCAGGGAGGGCCCTTACTATTTGTATCTTAATGTTAAGTAACTTAGTTACTATTAGTTACTACTTAGCTTAGCATAAGTACCTAATTAATATTAACAAAGGAATTTCTTATGTCTTAGACAACTTTTCCACATGATTGAAAGCAGGTATAGTTAACAAACTGCTTAAGGTTGAGGAAGCATAACACTATGTTTCTAACAGATTACAGTACTGTTGATTATCCATAGCAAACTTTCAATTCTGCGCCAGGTGACTCTAACTTGATGTAAGTTCAAAATAGCAAAGATTTGATAATGCAAAACACTTACGTCAAAAGTCAAATATGCCTAGGAACACATGACAGCAAAGATAACTGAAAGTCATACATATTGCTATTTGGTTACTAAGATAATGTTTTTGTGATCTAGGGGTAAGCATTTATCTAGTTAGAATTTTTTTCTTTCAGAGGGAATTTGCTAAGAATTGAGATTAAAATGCCTGAATTGGGCCCTCCCTGATGGCGCAGCGGGTTAAAGCACTGCACTAAGAAGCTGAAACCACTTCTGCATGAGTTCGATTCCCGCCTGCCCCGGAGGTGACCACATGGCGTGGCAGACCTCTCCTGACCCGCCCGCTGCTCCCCTCAGCAGTGTACTTTGTAGATCTGCTTGTTCTGTTCCCCACTCTGTCTCTGGTGAAGCCTCTCACCACCCCTGCACCTCTGGCCTATACCCTGGTTCTGTATGCACAAATAAATAAATCTTAAAAAAAAAAATGCCTGAATCTTTACCTTAATGTTACCTCCAAAATGTGTATGTACGACATCCCTTACCTGTCTCATATATCACCTACCTGGTCCCCTTGCTGTCATTTTGCTACACATATTAGTAAGAAACAGGTTTGACAGATGGTCAGAGACCCAAAATAATGTTGCCAGAAGTTCATTTTTCTCTCATTTGACAATCCAAGGAGGTAAGCAGATCAAAGCTGGTATGGCAACCCCACAATGCCAGGGACCTGGGCGCTTTCTACTAGCTAGCTGCATTTACATCCCTAGGGTGTGGCTTTTCGCTACATGATCCAAGATGTTTAACCACTATGCTCACATACTAGCCAGCAGAAAAAGGGTAAAGGGAAAGACAGCACTCCCTTTTAACCTTTGAGGGAATGATTCAGAAACTGTACACATTACTATTGCTCACTTTCCATTGGAAAACTCAGAGTTCAGAACTTAGTCATAAGGCCTTCCCTACATAGGAAGAAGGGGAGAGTATTGTTTATTCTAGGTAACCATGTATCCAGCTAAACATTGACAGTTCTGTGGAATAAGTATTGGGGCACAATTAGTAATCTCTGTCAACCTACCGATGAGCTTTTACCCTTCTAGCAGACATGGGTGTTCTAACACATGAACTGAATGTTATGTGCTGACCAGGGACTTTCAATGGCTTCCCAATGCTCTGAAGATACAAATTAAAATCTTTAACCACAACTTAAAGGGTTCTGCCTAGTGTGCAAGAGCTCTTGTATATTGGCCTATCTCATCCTGTACCCCCCTTTCTGCACTCGTCTTTTTTTTTTTTTTAAGTTTTGTTTATGCATACAGAGCTGGGCTACAGGCCAGAGGTGCTGGGGCGGTGAGAGATTCACCAGAGACAGAGTGGGGAGCAAAACATTGCTGAGGGGAGCAGCAGGTGACAGGAGAGGTCTGCTGTGCCATGTGGGTGACCTCCCTGGCCAGGGATTGAACTCCTTCTGCAGTAGCTGCTGCTAGCTTTGTTCATAGTGTTGTGTTCTAACCCACTGTGCCACCAGGGAGGACTCCCTGTACTCCAGTCTTACAAGTTTTCATTCAAGTCTTCAAACACACCTTGTGCTGTAAGACTTTTGGTCTCAGGAAAACTTTCCTAGTGATGCCCTCCCTGCTTCTGGTTTCCTAGTTATATACCAACATGCATTTTCCACTGATCTCAACATTGCATTTATCTTACTAACTTGTGTTAAACAGTACTATAAGCTCCAGAACAGGGGCCATGTCTATCTTTGCTCGTGTTGTATTGTGTTCCTAGTGCTAATTTAGAGTTTCCACAGAGTGGCCAAAAATCTGGACATGAGTTGCACTAATCTAGCTCATTACTTTATGAACCCCAGGATTTAGAGAAATTTCTCTCACAATGACCTGATACACTAGCTGAAATTTTATTATTTAAACATTTTATTTTGTGCTTAACTTAGAGTGTAAACACAGACTTTGGGGTTATAAGCTTAACCATATAATTTAATTTTGCCTCAAATAACTTGGTCATTTTCTGTTTCAGTCCCCCATCTATAAAATAAATGTTAAAACTTTGTTAGGGACAACATCTATATCTTAAACTATTAGTAGTCAAATGCAGTTATCTCAGAATAGTAAAAGAAAATCCTTAAAATGTGATGTTTTGGGCCCTCCCTGGTGGCGCAGTGGGTTAAAGCACTGCACTAAGAAGCTAAAGCCGCTTCCCCATGAGTTCGATTCCCGCCTGCCCCGGAGGTGATCCACATGGCGAGGCAGACCTCTCCTGGCCTGCCCACTGCTCCCCTCAGCAGAAAACTTAGTTGATCTGCCTGTTCTGTACCCCACTCCATCTCTGGTGAATCCTCTCACCCTCCACATCTCTGACCTGTACCCTAGTTCTGTATGAATAAATAAATAAATCTTTAAAAAAATGTGATGTTTTTAGCAGGAGTATAATGGACCAGGTGGAAAATAACAAAAATAATGAACAACCATATACCAGAGACATTTTGTGGGGGTGGAGTGGGAAATGGGATCAAAAACAGGGTGGGGGGAGGGAAATGCACGAGATTATGGTGACTTGGTGATGGGAAACCCGTGGGAATTACAATTGAGATGGAAAAAAGAATGTACAAAATGATGTAAAAATAAACTTTTGTAAAAAAAAAAAGAAAATGTGATGTTTTATTCTCAACTAATATATGTATTTTAAAAAGGTAAATTATATGTATGTACATATACATGTATGTATGAATATATATGTACATTTACTCATAAGGCAACCAAAAGCCTTACAACTGGAAAGCACTGTAAAAAACTTCCCAGTTTGTCCTTTTATATCACAAAGTGTGGTATTCATCAATTGCAATTTGCAATTAGAATAAGAATTAGAATTATTAGAATAAAACTATTTGATTTCTTGATAAAACCTGGAATTAAAAAATTTGCTTTTTTTGTTTCAAAGAACTGCTATGTTTGACAGTGGTTTAATCTTAGCTTTAAAATAAATGCTCTTCAATGTGGAATATAGAGAATGCAAACAAATGATCAAAGAAAGACAAAAGTTTAAAGCTGACCATATATCTGAGGTAGGGTGGGGGGAAAGGGGGAGGAGCACAATGGGCTGTGGTGGAGGATTTCGGGTGCTTTGGTGTTTGGGAGGCTAATGGTGACCACACCTGAGGGGGGAAATCCGATACAGTCAACACACTAGCAAAGGTGTAAAACAACGGTCCTTCAGTAAAAATAAATACATTCATGGGCCCTCCCTGGTGGTGCAGCGGGTTAAAGCACAGCACTGAGAATCTAAAGCCACTTCCGCATGGGTTCGATTCCCGCCTGCCCCGGAGGTGACCACATGGAGCAGCAGACCCCTCCTGACCCGCCCGCTGCTCCCCTCAGCAGTGTACTTCGTAGATCTGCCTGTTCGGCTCCCCACTCTGTCTCTGGTGAATCCTCTCACCACCCCTGCACCTCTGGCCTATACCCCAGATCTGTATACATAATTAAATAAATCTTTAAAAAAAAAAGAAAAAAGGGTAAATGTACCTGAAGAGATGACCAGTGAAATACCAACCAGCTCAACTACAAACAATGTAAAAATGACGGATAATATAGCAAAGTCCATTTGACTTTATAATAACAGAATTGGCTATAATCTGCAGTGCATATTGGCATAATTATCTATAATTATAGCTCATTTAGGAGAAGAATGAACTATAAACTATAGTTCATGTTAGCTAAAAATAGCAAATACTGGTGTCACCAAAACAGGGTTTTAAATATCTTGTCTTTTTTCATAATATGAATTAAGTGGCTGGATAATTCCAACAAAGAAATATATAACTGTTTGGCGAAGAATGGGTGCTCAGATTTTCCCTTCAATATGTTGTTCTAATGTGCCATCTACACTCACAAACTCAGTGTGAGACTGTGGTCTCTGGTAAACTACATAGTTTATTAGTTGATATGTTAATATGTAGATACTATCACAGTAGGATATTTGTGTTGCTTTGGAATTAATGAACACATTAATCACCTGAAGATAAATTTTTCTGAAGGCAGTTTGCTGTTTTCCTAGGAAACTGCCATAGTATCTATCCAATTTTGCAACCACCAGAAAAATGGACATAGATGCTTAACTTTAAATTTGGATAGAAACATTGCTAGAATAAAAAATAAACTGCCAGGAAAGTTGTTCTTGAGATCATACATTTAGAAAGAATTCATATTTCTCAGGCAATATGAACAAAGAATCACACTTTAAAAGTATATAGTTTAGAAGTCTCAGCTTGAGATTTTATTCAATAGCTATTTAAGTATTACATTTCTTCTTCTCTAACATTTATGTGGCATCAAAATTGAATTGTCTTTTAAAGTTTATAAGAGATTAATTACAAAAACCCAGATTCTTTTTGATAAACAAGTATTCAGTCTGTTGGAAGAAGAATCATATGGAAGTATGGAGTGAATGGGAGAATCACCTTGGCTCACTTAGCAAGTATATGCAGTTCTATCACGAGCCAGTAATGTGGAAGAAAAACATGAAATACATACAAAATGAGAAAGGAGACCAAAAGGTGATTATATCTTAACTTCTTTAATAATACAATCAAAATTTTAACACGAGAAAAATTCACTATTTTAATTAACATTTAAACACATTTATAAAGAACAAAATACTGAACACATTTATGAACAAACGGCAGCATCTATGTTTAGGCTCATGAGCTGCCTAACACATTTAAAATGTATAGCGTATGAAGTCACAGAACCATAGGGCTAGAAGAAAACTCCACAAGCTAATAGCTTCACTACAAACAAATTCATCTTGTACAGAATTCTTTTTAACTCACGTGATGGTCATTTTAGCTCATCTAGTCACAGAGATGGCAACCAACCACAGGACCTTGCAAACGTGGAGTGATCATTTACAGTTGTGATGAAGTGGAACAGACAATAAGAATAAAAGAAATTCCCATAGTTAAATGTTTTATACTTTTAATACAAGCACTTAAAATGTTAACATGAGATAAAACTTGACTATTTGAACTCATATTACAAGTACCAAAATTATAAATGAACAGCAAGAATATAGACATATAAGAGACTCTGGTTTTAAGATCACACACAGGTCAAAACATTTAGAAATTCAAAAGATATAAAGTCACAATAAAAAGTGGAAACCTTAAGACAATTTAGCACACTTACTGTATGGCTGTCCAAATTAAAGACTAGGACAAATGAACAATACCAATCCAGGTGTGCTTTGAAAGAAAAGTGCATGTTTGCCACTTTTAGAGAATTTAATTTTCCAATTTCAATTCATAATTTATCATTACATGTGAGTAAAAGTGGAAGGATGCTAAATATCCATGAAAATTTTCTCTTTTAAGTCAGGATGCCTTACATTGAGACTCTAGAATTAAAATGCATTTCACAAATAGAATAGTGAACACAATTATCACAAGCCAAGATAACAGACATAGAGAACATACATTTTTTGATACACCAAGAACTGTTTTGATAACTTATTTTAATGAATTTAAGGTGAAGCTTGGTAGCTCCAAACACAAAATGGAACAAAAAACCACTTTACCTTATATTTTATATCACATTCCTGCTGAAAAAATTATTTAAGTTGCCAACAACATAACAGAGTATTTTTACTCTGAATAATTTCATTTGCCAAATTTTAAGAAGTATTCTCTGGGCTATAAATTTTCTGTAAAAAGACTTCTACTTTATTGTTACCCAAATTACAGATATCCAAGATACCGACGACATGTACTCTATCCAGTTCAGTTACTGCTTTTATAATATCACCTAAAAATAAAAAAGCAGATGGTAAGTATTATAAAATAGTTAAATATTTACTTGGATTTATTGTCACATAGGCTGATTTTTTTCTTATAATACTCAAACTGTCCTTTATGTAGTCCTTCCATTGAATTCATCATACATTCATCAAAGTTTTATCATAGTAACTGCAAATTAAAGCGAATACACCACAGATGTTATCAATAATGTTGAGAGCCAGGGGTAGGAATTCTAATACCATACTAAGTTGTTTTTATTTTTTGATATTTTAGTGAAGCAAAGTAAGTATACATAATTTCAAGGTCATTTACATGGTGCCAAGTAAACAATTTATTGTATACTTCAAGGAAATGCAAAGACCAACTTTTCCATTTTGAAATTTATTAATTATTTCCAAACTTCAAATATTTCAAATTACAAGATATCAATAACTGAAGTTACTAAAGCAAAATAAATATACGTAACTTAAGTTTTTTTTTTAAAGTGTATTTCTTTTGAAGTGGCTTTATTAACTAAGTAAGTGTTGGATGTGTTTAGAAGTTTTAAAGAAGATGGATTAGGCCAGTGATTGCTGAAAATGAAAGAGTAAGTAACTCCAGGGGCTTTGTTCCTCCATTAATGCTATTTATATACTGGCAAAAAAATCTGCAGGTCAACTTTTCTAAAACTCTGAAATCTAGGGAAAAAAATTTTAAACCAGGGGAAAGATTAATGAACAACAACGTTGCTACACTGCTGTAACATAGTGCTGTGGTGTTTTATTTTTTTTAATTAAATTAAATTTAATTAAAAAATTATTTTTGCATCATTTTTCATTTTGTGCCTTTTCTCATCTTAGTTGTAATGGGCTGTGGTGTTTTATATAGCCCGCCTGCATGCCTTGTTCCCCAGATGAGCAGCAGCCAGGAAAATGGCTGGTAGTGCCAGAGGCAGCATGCAGCCCTTATTCTTGAAGATGTGGTTGTGTGTTTTCATCTTCTGGGCAGCTCCCTCAAGGACAGATGAAAGGGGTTGCTTTTGTTTTTCCTGATTCAGGGCATTCCCAAGACTGGGGAGGCTTTCCCAGGGGCCTTTGTTGAAAGCATATATTGGCCAGAGCAGCTGGATAGATAGAAAGTTGGAGCAAAGCAATAGTACAAAAGGCTGGGTAGAGAGATATGGGGATTTTAAAAGGTCCTATATATACAGGAAATGAAGAAGGCCACATGAACTTTAGAAAAGGCCTGAGAAGATGCTAACTGTTCACCTAGGCCTGATATATCAGCTCTTCAGAGCAGGAAATAAAAGCAGAGCTGGATACAGCCTGCCTAAATGTTGCAGGGTTACCTGCTATAACAGATGAAATCTGCAAAAATTGGGACAGGTTTTCTTTCTTTTTTTTTTTTTTAAGATTTATTTACTTATTCATACAGAACTAGGGTACAGGCCGGAGATGCAGAGGGTGAGAGGACTTCCCAGAGACAGACGGGGGAGCAGAACAGGCAGATTGACGAAGTACACTGCTGAGGGGTGCAGCGGGCGGGTCAGGAGAGGTCTGCCACGCCATGTGGGTCACTTCCGGGGCAGGCAGGGATCGAACTCATGCGGAAGTGGCTTAAGCCTCTTAGTGCTGTGCTTTAACCCGTTGCGCCACAAGGGAGGGCCCCAGTTTTTCTTTTTAATTTACTTTTTGCTCCAAGTGTTTACGAAAACTCATTCAAAACCTTAACTGACCGCTGTTAAGCTGATGGATCACAGATTTCAGTGGTTACATGTAACAAAGAATTCATTTTGAATATGAGAAAACTAAAACACTTAGATGTTAAATAACTTAAGCAAAGTTACATGGAAACTCTAAGCTAGACAGTCTGGCTTCCAGAAATTCAGTGTTCAGGTTTTGCGCTAGTGCTACATCTCTACAAAACTGTGCAAAGTGTTACTGGTAGGTCTAGGTTTTGTAGTGCCTGAAGGGTATGAAAAAGAATACAATATACAAAAGAATGTCAAGAGGACCTTGGAAAGAATTTAGGCAAGTGAGGGCTCTTCAAGCCTAGGCTTCAGTTGCTTCATAGTAAATCCACCTGTGCTAGACAACTTTGATAGGCACAGTGGATATAATAAAAACTGCTAGTACTATATAATTACCCTTTTCTTTGAGTGGGATAACTTTAATTCAGATAATTTCAAAGATTGCAAGATCTTCAGTTTTGATGCTAACAGCAGCAATACAAACCTCAATAATTCTAATTGTACTCATAATATTGACTTTTACAAATAATGACTTATGTAATACCTGCAACATAATGCATGTTAGTTTGCTGTCTAAGCACCTTTGTCTACTTATATACTTGGAACAAATGCCAACTTCGCTGTGCCTCAGTTTGCTTATCTAGAACCTACATCATAGGGCTGTGACGATTAAATGCTGTAAAGTACTTGCTTTCACACAGCAAACCCTCAAGTATGAGCAAGGATCATTTTCTACTTAAATGAAATGAGGGTATTATCCTTTATATATAAAAAAATACTCTCAAAAGTACTTTACCTATAAAATAAGCTTCTTTACATTTCATTTTAAATTCTTGTAATTAAAAAAATACACATTTTCAAGAACCGTCACAAATACATCAGGTGAGTGTGACAAAGAAAATGTTACGTGTTCTCCACTCCATTCATTCTTCACGACTCATGGCCTTCCTTCTGTCTATGTTGGGATTATGTAATTAATTTTTAGCAAATAAGAATGCCAAACTGATACCACTTCCGGGCCAACACAATGAAAAGACAGTGCCTCCATTTCTTCCTTTGCCTAGATAACCCTAGAAGTCATGTGTTGCTATTGAGGCTACAACAAGGTGGAAACAGTTTGGATTCCTTAATCACTGCTTTGGAAGATTGTTAATTGCTCACTGCATCATATGTGAATTGAGCCAAGAAATAAAATTTTATTGTGTGAAGTTACCAAGACTTTGGAGTTGTTTTGAAATCTCAGAATATCTTGCAATTCTTGTCTCTGAAAACAGTATGGAAACCCTGATTACCTAAGAAACAATAAAATTGTTTTTTCCCTTAAATATGTTAAAACTCTTCTAAAACATGCCCTGTTTACCCCATAGTTGAAAATGATAACAACGAGGACATTAAATCAGTAAGCATTATTAAATGAATGACTTGGGATATTTTGTTAACTGTTTGAGAGAAGATAAAGCTGAATCCTTACTCTTTCTCTGGACCAAAATAAGTTCCAAATAGATTAAAATTTCTTTTAAAGATTTATTTATACAAAGAAGAACTGGGGTGTAGGGCAGAGGTACAGAGGGTGAGAGGATTCATCAAAGATAGAGTGGAGAGCAGAACAGGCAGATTGACTGAAATACACTGCTGAGGGGAGCAGTGGGTGAAACAGGAGAGGTCTGCTGCACCATGTGGGTCAGCTTCCTGGTGGGGTATCAAACTCAGACCACAGTGGCTGGTGATAGCTTGATAGTGCTGAGACATAAACCCCTGTGCCTCCAGGGAGGCCCCTGGGTTAAAAACTCTGTTATAAAATTGAAACCTTATTAACAACAACAAAAACCCCTCAAACAATCCAATTCAAAAATTGGCAAAGGATTTGAATGGATATTTCTCCAAAGATGACATACAAATATCCAAGGAACACATAAAAAGTTACTCAACACCATTCATAATTAGGAAATGCAAATCAAAATCAAAATGGCATATCACTTTAGGATGGCTGTTATCAGAAAACTCCAGAAAGTACCAAGTTTTAGTGAGGCTGAGGAAAAACTAGAATACTCATGCATAGTTGGTGTTGAGCAACTATTGTGGAAAACAGTTTGGTGCTTCCTCGAAAAGAATTACCACATGATTCAGCAACTCCACTTTGAGGTATATGCCCAAAATATTAACCATGGATTCAAAAGTTACTTATATACTAATGTTCACAGCAAAACTACAAAATTACTCACAATGGACAAGAGGTAGAAACAACCCAAATATTCATCAGCAGATGAATGGATAAATAAAATGTGATTATAAGCACACACGTACACCACAGAGGAATATTATTTAGTCATAGAAAAGAAATTCTGATACATATTACAATATAGATGAAACTTGAGGATATTATATTAAGTGATACAAAAGGTCAAATATTGTATGATTCCACTTACATGAAGCATTTAAAATAGGCAAATTCATAGAGACAGAAAGAGGAACAGAGGTTACTAGAGGCTGGGGTGGGAGGAGGGAAATGGTGAAATAAAAACCCTCATCTCTTATAAATTTACTCAAGTTCAGTCAGTAGTAGCCACTACTTCCGTAGGTTACTTCATCACCAGACATAGCTCTTAGGCCTTGTTTAAAAACAATATACACTCAAGAGTTTCATCATCTTAGAAAGACCCACAACAAAATCCCAAGAGAATAAAGGCTTTCCTAAAAGCTCTCTTAAATATAATTTCCTTATAAGCTCAATGAAAACTGCTAGAAACTACCACATGCTTAAGAAATAAAAACAGCAGCAGAAAGTGAACAGGGTAATTTAATTTGACACCTAATTTTGCAGATATAGAGGAATAATTTAAAGCTTGGTAGTGGCCTACACAATTAGTTGGTTGAAGGGTTTCACTACTGGGACTACATACACTCCTAGCAGTCCTCAAGGAATTTATTGCATAGCACTCGAATAACTAAACATTGGTAAGAGAAAACAATTGCTCTACCCAGTTGCTAAAATTTCAGGCAATTATAAAGTTAAAGGACATAATGTCTCACCAGAGTTTAAAGGAGAGAAGAGTAGAATATACACTGTCCCACATGCATACCTGTTAGGTCTGTGGGTACTTAGATTTAGAATTGTATTATAAGAGAATATTCGTAATGCTGGCCTGGAATAGAAACCATAAATTTATTTAAACATTTATTCTCATGGGGATCATTTATGAAATAACCTTTTAAACTATCTTAAATGTGATGGTGGAAATGTTCACATTGTGACATGTTAAGATTGGAGTTACTTACATTAATTTCATTTTCTGAGTGAAAAGAATAAGGTTTTCTTACCTGCAACTGCCCTTGGACCTGGCAATCTGTCATTGTCAATTACTTCAGGTGGATACACACAGCTGTAATTCATGCAGGTTAACAATGTGTCTATCTGAGATGTTCTGAGGTCTTCTGGACAATACATGGGTAGAAATGCAACATCAATTGCTATCTCATGGTTCAGACCTGTAATAGAAAAACCATACTTTATTAAAAGTTCAATGGGTTAGTACTTGTTTCTAATGAGTGCAGTTTTGCTGCTTTGATTCTAATATGTGCCAAAAAATTTCAGAAAATTTTGTTTCAGAACTGGAGAATAAATCCTTAGTTTTTTGTTTTTTTTTTTTTTAAGATTTATTTATTTGTTCATACAGAACTGGGGTACAGGCCAGAGGCTCAGGGGCGCCGAGAGGCTTCACCAGAGAGAGCAGGGAGCAGAACAGGCAGATTTATGCAGTACACTGCTGAGGGGAGCAGCGGGCGGGTCAGGAGAGGTCTGCCGCGCCATGTGGTCACCTCCGGGGCAGGCGGGGATCAAACTCATGCGGAAGTGGCTTTAGCTTCTCAGTGCTGTGCTTTAACCTGCTGCGCCACCAGGGAGGGCCCTAAATCCTTAGTTTTAAACGCATTTATGAATACATGCTATTGGTTGAAAGAGAAGAAACTTTGGTGTAATGTATCACCACTGCTATAAATAAGAATCCAAAATGTTTTCCCTACTGATAGCTGAAATCTTAATATCCAGAGGACTGAGTGTCTGGTTGTATAAATGGAAACATAAGTGTTTCCTTTGTCATTCATCACAGATGCCACCATGGGGTATGAATTCAGAGGTTGGTTCCCTTATTGCTATTTGAGTTGAAGAGTGTATGTATGATTCAAACAAAGTCAGGGATAGGTAGTAACTAGATCCCACCTGTCCGCAAATATACTAGACAAGGCTTAATCATTCCCCATTAGGGCTTTAAAAGGTCGGGGTAGCAAAGGGGATATGGGGGAACAATTAAAGAAAATCCTGATCTGCAACTGTCGTATGTGGGGTCTGAACGTCAATCAGCAAGGGTAGATCAAAAAGAATTCCTAGGGAAGATTTTAAGCTGGGTACTGAAGAATGAATGAACAGCATTTAAATCAACTGAGAGGAGGGTTATTTCAGGCAGACCAAGGAGCAATCAAAAGTATAAACCAGAGTAAGGCACTCATTTGGCTGGATTAATGGTTAACACAGAGCAACAGCTTTCAATCTCTATGAATTCCACCCAGACACCCAATCCAGAAACCTGCAATTTATCCTTAGTGTCTCCCGTTCACTCTTCCCTGATATTATCTACAGATTTCTATATAGTCTATGACCCTAATATCGCTCCTATTCATCATTACAACTATATTCATTCTTAAATACTGAGTATGGGCCAATGATGAGTAAACAAAGTTGTTTCTGATAATATGTAAACGGATCCAGAAATACAAAGCCATTCATTGCTTTTTATGGGTAAATGACACTAAATTCTATAGCCTTAATTTAGCATACAATTAAGGGCTACTTAAAGCTTTTTAATGATTACTAAATTTTGACTTTCATAAACTAAAACAGTGATAAGATCTAGAATTTACTGAGGAATCTAATTGAGTATTGTAAGAAGTACAGCCACCCCATAATTCTTAACAAGGCTGTAAACATCATGTGAATATTCAAATGCTGATATTTTATTTTCTTGATTCTAAGACTAAGTTTAACTTTTACATATGCCATCAATTTAATAAGTTTTTTTTTTTAAAGATTTATTTGGCCCTCCCTGGTGGCGCAGCGGGTTAAAGCACAGCACTAAGAAGCTTAAGCCACTTCCGCATGAGTTCCATTCCCGCCTGCCCCAGAGGAGATCCACATGGTGCGGCAGACCTCTCCTGACCCGCCCGCTGCTCCCCTCAGCAGTGTACTTCGTCGATCTGTACCTCACTCTGTCTCTGGTGAATCCTCTCACCCTCTGCATCTCTGGCCTGTACCCCAGTTCTGTATGAATAAATAAATAAATCTTTAAAAAAAAGATTTATTTATGCTTACAGAACTGGGGTACAGGCCAGAGGTGTGATGGGTGAGAGGATTCACCAAAAACAGAGGGGGAGCAGAACAGGCAGATCGACAAAGCACACTGCTGAGGGGAGCAGCAGGTAGGTTAGGAGAGGTCTGCCAAGCCAAGGGGATCAGCTCCCTGGCTGGAGATCAAACTTGTGCTGCCGTGGCTTCTGAGAGTTCATAGTGCGGTGCTTTAACCTGTTGCACCACCAGGGAGGGCCCAATTTAATGATTTTTTTTCCAATTTAATAAGTTTTCAAAAAAAAAAACAACCCACTGTATTAAATGTATCTGATATTTTCAAGGTGGTTTCATTATTGTGTGTCACTGATCTATGTTTTTTTCTAAATTATCAAATACTGAGTTTAGCTTCAACATTATTAGTCAAATGTGTTTTGAGTTCACTTAAAGCTAGGGTTCAGAGTGCAAATGTAAAGTAAAAAGGCCTCAGGGCCTCTGTACACCTGTTCCTGTGCCTAGAATGGCCCCTCACTATATATCACGCGGCTGACTTTGCCTTCATCATGGGAAACCTCATGTGAATGTGCACATGCTGGTATCTTATTTTCAGGTTCCTGGTGAAATATTACTTTCTAAGGGAGCGGTCCCCTGACAACTCTTAAACTTAACCCTTTCCTAATATAGCACTGTCAAATAGCCTCTTCTAACAATTATCACCATCTCACTCTATTAAACTTCTTGGCTTGTGTTCACCCACCTGACCTTAGCACCTTGAACAGTGCTGGGCGCACAATAAGCTCTTGGTAAATATTTGTTAAACTGAAGAAATAAATGTACATTTGTGTACTATGAGCTATATTTTTCAAATACTAGGCCTTAGCAATTTGTGCATTAAGTGTTCAAATATTAATTCATTCCTACTTGCATTACCAAAAAAGGTATGAACACAACATCCTCCCCACAATGGGCGCACATAATGCAATTCAATAGTGATCTATGTGTTACTTAAGTAAGTAACAGCATAATATCTAGGTAAGTGGAATAAAATAAAACTATAGAGAAATATAAAATCAAATAAGCTCATTTTTTTGGTAAAGTGCATTACATGTAATTTATATATCTTCTTTCTCAATTCTTTGTTATCACTGAACTTTTTTCCCAGTGAAAAGTATGCTTTTGTGTGAGTGTGTGCAGGGTAACATTTTTTTTTTTTAAAAGATTTCCTTATTTATGCATATAAGAACTGGGGTACAAGCCAGAGTTGTGGGGGAAGGGCAGTGAGAGAATTCACCAGAGACAGAGCAGGGAGCAGAACAGGCAGATGCACTGAAGTACACAGCTGAGGGGAGCAGTGAGCAGGTCAGGAGAGGTCTGCCGCGCCATGTGGGTCAGCTCCTTGGCTGGAGATTAAATTTATGCTGCAATGCCTACAGATAACTTCATAGTACTGGGCTTTAACTCGTGCCACCAGGGAGGGCCCTGCAGGGTGATCCCAGCAGCCAGCAGTGTTTGGCAAGTAGCTTATCTAAGATGTCAGTGATTTTAAAATGGCCGTTATTTTATATAGTGGTAAGATTATTATACTGCCAACTAAACAATGGTAAGACATCAATTGTTAAATGTATACTGATTTTGAAAGATGTTAAAAATGGAGAAGAAAGTGAATGAAATCTGATAGTAGGTACTTGAGGTTTAATGATTAAATTATTTTTGAGACAAGAAGGGTCTTGGGACAAAGACAGGAGAGAATCCATGACAAAATTTTGCTCGCCCCATGGGCTGGTAAAGAAGAGGTTAAAAACCTGATGATCTAGACCCACACACCTGCTGCCATAAATCTCCATGGGTCATTTAAAAAAACATTTCTAAGCTATTTTTTCCACAGTTTATCAACTTGGCTGCTATGGGGGAAAAGGGTATTGTAGACTCAGAGAAAAGGAAGTCACAGATTTTGAGACCACACTGGTTCAGACTAGAGCTGCGGGCACACAGATTCCACAAGATGTTCACCTTGAGAAGGTCACAAGCTCTGCACAACCATCAAGCTGACTGATGCTTAGAACTGGCAACAATAAACTGACTTTAGTCAAGTCCAGTCCTTGCTTTCTCTGCCAATAAAGTTTAATTCCTTTGTTCTCAAACGTCATTCCTAAACCTATAAAGATCCCTAGCCTTGGCATCTCAGGGAGTCTCACGCTCAGAGAGATGACCCCAGAGCTTTCTTTCCTTGCTCTTTAGTTAGTTGATGCTGACTCCTTGCTTGCCCTCACTGCTGTCTGGAGTCATCTTTTCCATCTTTGCCAGAGGGTGTCAAGAGCCCTTCCCTATGCTTGGGAACATACCCTGAAGTACCCTTTGGACCGTCCCTCTGACTCCTGGCAGCCAAAGCAGCGGGATGTGGCTGGTATACCCATAGTTTAGTTAAGCTAAGGCCTGGCAACAATATTCTAGCTCTGGTAGCAGTCTGATGCTCCATTTGAGTTCCAAGAATGGGAAACATCCCAGTGGGATAGGATATGCTGAGGATATAGCCTTCAAAGGAAACAACAATGGTGAAACCCAGTGCTACTCAGCTAATAGTTGCAGTGGGCCTCAACAGGCATGAAGACTTTCCTTCACCACAGAAAGAGGGGTACAAATAATTGGCTCTCAGTTTATGGAAGGCAGCAATTATGTTGGTCAGGTTGGTCGCTTTAATAGGACAAAGCAATCAAGATAAGCAAAGCCTTATTATTTCAATATAACTATAGCATATTAAATTAACTTGATGTTACAATTACCGTTATTTAGAACAGTAGATTATCACATAAATTCACAACAAGGGAAGGAAGCACAATGGACTGTGATAGTGGACTCTAGGTGGTTTAGTGGTGGGTGCCCTATGGTGGAGATACTGTTTGAGAGAATCCCAAATTACCTTAATTAGAAGAATGAGTGATTGTCTGAATGAATGTTGCAGAAGATGAAAACGAATAAACCACTTGAAAATTTTCTGCAAAAAATACCCCTTTTGACAAAAAACTTAGAAAAGATTATTTTAACAGTGCTCCTTAAATCATATTCATTATTATTAGGGTTTTAATCTCTTGACTTCCATAAGATGAATAAAAAGTCACAAAAATAATTTTGTGACATGTGAAAATTATATGCTGCTCAAGTTCAGAAAAAGTTTTGTTCAAAAACACTCTTGCATATTCATTTACATATTATATATGGCTGCTTTTTTTTTTAAAGATTTATTTATTTATTCATACAGAACTGGGGTACAGGCCAGAGATGCAGAGGGTGAGAGGATTCATCAGGAACAGAGTGGGGAGCAGAACAGGCAGATCAATGAAGTACACTGCTGAGGAGAGCAGCGGGCGGTCAGGAGAGGTCTGGAGAGGTCTGCGGCACCATGTGGTCACCTCCGGGGCAGGCGGGGATCCAATTCATGCGGAAGTGGCTTAAGCTTCCTAGTGCAGTGCTTTAACCCGCTGCGCCACCAGGGAGGGCCATATATGGCTGCTTTTAAACTAAACCAGCAGAGCTCAGTACTTGGAACAGGAAATGCATGGCCTGCAAAGTCTCAAATATTTACTATGTGTCCTTTACAGAAAAATATTTGGCCCTTTGTACAAAACACATACAAAATCATCGTTCACTTCTAGAATTCTCTTAACAAATTGTATACTAATAACACATTTAATTCTCTCTTTTGAGTTGACTTCTCATGCCATGCTTAAAATGTATACGTCATTTTCTGGTATGGTACTACAACTTGATTCATACTTTCAAGGAGATATGATTAATTCACCACATTCACATCTGATATTCAGCCCTTAAGCAAAATCAGAGGATATCTATACTTCAAGTATTGCTAGGAGAATGGTAGTTCTCAGCCATGATATTCCTGCACATGATTATATTCCCACATACCTGACACACAAGGTTCAGTCTTATCAGTGGCCCTGGTGGCATTAAGTATCCTTCAGTATGTGCAGTGAGACTGAACATACTAGAGTGTACCAGAATTTCAAGAAGTCTGGATAGATCTCCTTCAGATGATACTGATAGGCTACACTCTACCACCAAGGGTCTACGAAAATCACTGCATCAGTAACATTTAAAAATTCTCTAGATTTTCTTTGATTTAAATTAAACCAGTAGAGAAGTACTCAGATCAAATAATAATTAATATGAAAATGTACTTCTTTACTGACCTGCCTTACTAAGATCTAAATAATGAATATACTGGTTAGTCAAACTATAAAGAGCTATAATTACTTGTAAGACATGTGGTGGGTCAGTTTAACAGGTTAGCATTATGTTAAAGAGAAGAAAACCACTTGATTTCTATGTTTCCTGAAGAACTTCATAATTTCCATGGTTACTTTTCGTGATAGATGGGAAATCTTTGTTATAAATTTTGTTTCCTAGATATAAATCTAAACTTGGAAACTACCCAAAGAGGACAAATAATGTAATCTTACGAAAAGGAACACTTGAAACTAAAGTCTGAGATGGTCTAATAGAGCCAGTGGAAATTCCTACATGTATACACCATACATGTGTATGTATATACACACGTATAAACTATATATGTATGTATATATAGAATATGTATATAGAATATGGACATATACATAATCACATATATGTGATTATGTATTTTTGCGTGAGGAGGTAGGGAAGAAGAGGAGAGAGTAAAGGGAGAAAAAGAATCTTGATAAAGGTGAAGTAAATTCATTCCAGGATTATAGATGAAAAAAAATCTACAAACTGCTTTTTCTTTCAGGAATTAAACTATGTTGCTAGAGATTTTTCCTTATTCTTTCATTTTTAAAGTAACAAGACCTCCTTTTAAAATACAAATTAAATAAAAAATTTTCTTTCATTCCGAGAATAGTTCATTTGGACAAGATATTATTTTATAATGAAAAAATTTAAAAGATTTATTTATTTATGTATACAGAACTGGGATATAGGCCAGAGGTGCAGGGGTGGTGAGAGAATTCACCAGAGACAAAGGTAGACGGGCAGACAGACGAAATACACTGCTGAGGGGAGCAGCGGATGAGCCAGGAGAGGTCTGCTGCTCATGTGGGTCAGCTCCCTGGCCGAGGAACCAAATCACAGTGAAGCAGCTACTGCTAGCTTCACAGTGCTGCACTTTAATCCGTTGAGCCACCAGGGAGGGCCAGAATGAAATTTTTTGTATATATTTTTCATTCATTAGAATTAAACTTAGAAAAAAATATAAATTTTAACATGTGTTGTATTTTTACATTTAAATTTCTATAAATTCTTTAAATTTCTATTAATTCTATAGCTACTTCTCAGTTTTGAGCTGCCCAAGAGAATCTGTTTATTTTTCCTTATCAGACCTGGGGACCTTTTTCAATAGTTTCTTTCTGTTCAACCTGAGCTACCTGGAAATTTTATTTTCTTTAGGGGCTAAACAGACCCCTATTCAGAGGAGTTTCTCTCAATTACTACCTCTTTCTCATTAACCGACATTTTACTCATCAATGGTTCAGAAGCACCAGTGGCAGAAAAGACAGGCAAGAAAGCAGTGTTGCAGAATAGAAAAAATTTTAGAAGTAGTTGGGTAGTTAGGAGTGAGGAAAAGTCCTTGGTTTCCATTCTTCTCTTAAAAAATATTTTCTAGGCCTCCCTGGTAGTGCAGTGGTTAATTCTCAGCACTGTGAAGCTATTGTAGTCACTGTAGCATGAGCACAGCCTGGGAGCTGACCCACATGGCACAGCAGACCTTTCTTGCCTCTCTGCTGCTCTCCTCAGCAGTGTATTCCAGTCAATCCACTTATTCTGTTCCCCACTCTGTCTCTGGTGAATCCTCTCACTCCCCTCTACCTCTAGCCTACAACCCAGTTCTTCTATGCATAAATAAATAAAATAAATCTTAAAAAATACATTCTAAGGACTTGTCTAAGTTTACAAGTCCACACTTGTATTCTAGAATGAGTACTTCATTCCTCTAGCTTGAGACAAATGGGAACTCTCCTTGGTCTTACTAAGGAGACCTCCCCCTTGGGGGGAGGCTAATTTTTTAAAGCAAAATATTATCAAAATATTATCAAATATTATATTTAAAATATATTAAATTCTTAATATTTATTTATTTTTAAAAAGATTTGTTTGTTTATGCATACAGAACTGGGATACAGGCCCGAGGTACAGGAGCAGTGAGAGGATTCACCAGAGACAGAGTCAGGGAGCAGAACAGGCAAATCGACGAAGTACACTGCTGAGGGGAGCAGTAGGTGGGAAAGGAGAGGTCTGCAGTGCCATGTGGGTCACCTCCAGGGCTAGGATCAAACTCATACTGAAGAGGCTGCATCTAGCTTGCAGTGCTGCGTTCTAACCCACTGTGCTACCAGGGAGGACCTAAATTCTTAGTATTCAAAGAAAACAGCTGACTTACCTAGAATGGTTACTTCAAAATGTCCAAGGCTTCGAGCACTCTTAAAATCATCAAGTTTCGGGGGTATTCCATCAGGTGGTATGTATTTTGAAGGCTGAGAATTAAACTGCTGAGTAAGAAACTTCCTATGTTCAAAAATGAATTTCCGTGGAATACTTTCAGGATAAACAGAGTTGTAATGCAGGTGATCTATTAAGCCAAACTTTTTCTCTCTCCAAAGCTGACTTTCCCACCTATCAGTGATAGGTTTTCTGGCTTTTACTATGTTACTAGCGCTTGCCATTTCTCGACCTGTTAAAGATATAAAGAAATGGACACAGTTGACCTATTTACTAATCAAATTAAGTCTTGTGCTACAAAAAAAGAGATTAATGAGATAGTTTGACTAAATTTAAATATTAAATAGCTACTTATAAAATATAAATTGCATGCCTTCCAAACAATTCTTATCAAAGTGAGGGAAGAACTGAATTAATTATTAAAATACAATTTTACCCAAACTATTAAAAATGGATATTTTCCTCTGTTGCCAAAATCATGGGAAGTTTTAATTATATGCTTTATGATATTTCCATATTTTCTAAATGCTCTTAAATAAATATACTCCCTTTTTATATACCCCTTTTATACGCAGTGACAAATTCACATTAAGTGAAATTTGTGAGAATAATGACCTTTAAGGATGACATGGACACCACTCACTATTAGTGAAATTTAAAATAAAAATTCCCTAATCTTTGCTAAAAATAGCCTGAACAAATACTTTTTCTTGGATACAACTCTCCTTCAATAGGACTATTTACTTATTACATGTAATACTTCCTTCAAATATAACAAGTGGAAAGCAAAGAGATGAAAAACTCCTTAATCTTGATTGTTCTCTAGAATGGAGTAAATTTAATTACACATTTAGATGAAGAGGCAGAACATATTTTTCTCCTAATTGAAGAAGTGATATAATCAGGAAAAATGCATTTTGGAATAAAATTTTCATGTTGTCAGTTCTGCTAGCTGAGGCAAGCTTACAGCAACTCTATTTCAGAGCTTACTAAAGCTTCTCCAATGCTTCTCTGAAGGCTACAAATGCCTGGGCATTCATTATTATTCCAGTATATAAAACCTGTTGGCAGCAGAAGGAACTTCAGCAGCAAGGCTTCAGTGTGATTTAATATAATGATTTTCCTTTCCAAAATTTATTTCATATTCCCAGATTACTTTCTCAATTTCTTAAAACTAACCGAAGACTAGGTTTTAATTAATAATGAAAATTTATTATGAGGTAAAATAGTAGGGAACATGAAAAGCTTGAACAATATTTCTTACTTACGGAAATTAAAAATACTCCAATATTATAAAATAATTAAAAAATTAACTTAACTTTTAAATTTAATTGACTTACTACCCATTTCATGAGTAACAGCTTCATTCTTCAAAAATTGTATGTCTTACCTTAAGCACCAACAGATTTCCATTGGCCATTGCCAACATCAGTTTGACTTCCTCTAATCCTTCCTCCCACCTCCTTTGGTAACCACCCTTTCCCTTTGTAACCACCATATTTTTTACAGAGTCTAAGAGTGACTTTGGTTGTGATTTATTAGTTATATCCTGCATAAGAGAAATCATTTAGCAACTGTCTATCACTTTCTGACATATTTCACTTAGCATAGTCACCTCAAGAACTATCCACTTAGTGCCTAATGAGATGACTTCATCTTTTTTTTTACTAGCTGAGTAGTATTCCATTGAGTATATATTCCTTAACTTCTTCATTTAGTCAATGGTTGACGGACATTTAGGTTTATTCTGTGATTTGACTATTATGAATACTGCTACTATGAATATAGGAGAACATAAAACTTTGTGAATTAACGTTTTCATATTCTTTGGGTAAATACCTAGAACAGTATTACTGGCTACCAGGTGAAACAGGGGGGATGGAGCAAGGGCCAGGAGAGGGAAAGTGTTAGGGTTCTGGCACTGACAATGTAGTGGAGGGTGAGTGAGGCAAGTACAGATATGAATATGTGAAGGTGTGCACTCCCCAGGTTATGCAGTTATATAAGCAAATGGAAAATCAAAAATATTTGAGGAAAAACAAGGGTGATTAATATCAACAAAAAACAAAGACAAATCACTTACCAGAACTAAATTGTGTTTAAAAAAAAAATCATTTCAGAAATGAACTCAAGAGTTCAAGCCAGTCAATCCAATAGTAAATAAAGTAACCACAAGTACAATTACTTTTAAAGCTTAATCTATATTCATTCTTGAATAAAATTAGACTTCCTAGTAAATTATTTTTCTAATAATTAAAATAGTATATTTGAAGGGATGTACTTACTACAAAGGATCTTAGACATAACAAGTACAGGTTTACCTTTCTCTTTGCGGATCATACCAAATTGTCCTAAGGGTGGGACAAATACTTTTGAAAAGGATATGCTAATATAAAGAAAAACCAACTAACTATAGTCTATATAGCTATAGACTATATATATATAGTATTTATATATATATAGTATGCATATAATGCTAGCATCAGGCACAACATAAAATGTAGACTAATATCAAACAGTGTATATATATATATATATATATATACACACACACACACATACACACACATATATATACACACTGTTTTATATATATATATATAGAGAGAGAGAGAGAGAGAGAGATAGCTATGCATAGTGTTCCATTAAAATGTCATAAATTATAATAATTAGAACTAATAAAACATACGTTGAAAGATGCTTGGTATGCCAGGTTTATTTCCTTTTGCTTGTGCAGAAGTTTCTGACTGAGATACAGGAACTCTACAAAAGTTTAAAAACGATAACCAATAGTTATAAAAGAGATTTGAATGAAAAAAAAAACCTGGTTCTAATTCAATGAATTTAAAAAGCATATTTAATTTATTAAAGGAATACATTATAATTAAGAAAAATACATTAAAATTATGAGAAAGTATTTACACATAACATAATTCAAACATTGTAACAGATTTAAACTATCTTTTAAGGAGTATTGCCCAAAAGGAGGAAACATTCAACTCTATTAAATATCAACTAAAGATAGATGTATTTTTACTCTTTGTGATAGGAATTTAAAAATAAATTCATTGGTCACTTTCATGTTGCTTTCTTCAAGTATTCTAGAAGGCAATCTGACCTAACTCTTCAATCTCATTTCAACATTTTCTACAAACCTTACACTGCTTCAAACCTCCCTAGTTTTCTTTCTACCAGAATCAACTCTATGCCTCTTTACCTTGTCCTGGTTAAGTCTTATTTACTGTTCAAAATTTAGCTCAGTCTTTTTTTTTCCAATAAGAGGACATTCTTTATACCTACCCGAGGCTCAGTGTTTTTGAATATGCTACCATACAACCACAAATAAACATCTATCATTAATTCATCAGACTGCACTGAAATACAGGTTTATCTGTCTGTCTCTTACACCAGAATCTGCTTTATGATCTGCTGGACTTTCTCATTTTTATTTTTGTATCTTCACATAATATCTGCTTATAATTGTTTATTGGACTTTCTCATTTTTATTTTTGTATCTTCACATAATATCTGCTTGTAATTGCTTATTGAAATGAAATGAAAGGAGGCAAAGGGAAATAAGTTTTGAAAGTGAGCAGGAGCCAATATTTTATAAGAAAAGATTTCCATTATATGGATTAAATGACTAAATTGGAGGTATATAATTTCTATCAGTAACAGCTGAAGTTATTGAAAAAAAGAGAGACCATAAATAAAAAGACAAGAAAGATATAAGGATAACAGAGGACAGAAAGGGAAAGAGGACTTTAAGAAGAAAAGATAAAAAATGAGTAGCAGCAGATTATTTATTAGAAAAATCACGTCAGAAGTTATATGCTAGGTGTGCTCTAACCTTGTGCTTATCACCATTTATTCACCTTAGATAAAAGGTGAATATAGACTTCATGGTATGACATTCCCTCATCTATGTAACAGGATTATACTTAAAATTATCATGGTCTTACAAAGCACCTTTCATGCAAATGAGTTAAAATATTTAATTCACACACACATAAATTTCTTCTCTAATTTAAAAAAAAGATTTCTTTTTATTTACTTATGCATATAAGAACTGGGGTGTAGGTCAAAGGTGAGGGGAGTGAGAGGATTTATCAGAGACAGAGTGGGGAGCAGAACAGGCAGATTGACTGAAATATACTGCTGAGGGGAGCAGAGGGCTGAGAGAGGAGAGGTCTGTTGCGCTACAAGGGTCACGCCCCTGGCCAGGAATATAGCTCATGCTGCTGGAGCTCATGCTGCAGTGGCTGGTAATAGCTTGATAGCCCTAAGACTTTAACCCCTGCACCATCAGGGAGGCCCTAAATTTCTTCTCTAAAACTGAGATAATTATTCTGTGCATCCTTCACAGAGAAGTTGAGGTTCAAATGAGGTAATGTAAGTGATCTTGTATTGTATAATGAAATGCTCTATATAGTCAACTACAACTAATGGCTATAATCTAAGAAAACAGAATACACTACACAAAAAGTATAAGAATGTAATCAGGTATTTTTGAGAAGTTGCGATAATAAGCAAAGTAGAAATAGTTGATAATAATGTTAAAGTCTTTTGTGATCATCAATTCAAATTAGCAAATGCTTTTCTGACAATCATTGTTATTTTAAAACTTTTTTTAATGGTACTTCTGCTTTTTATGGAGGAGATACTAAAATGATTTTTAAGGATTTATCTAACCATGATATGGTTCACTTTCTCTCTTTAGAGGTTAAATATTATCAATATAATAAAATGGAGAGGTATTACTACATTTTAACTATCAGTGTTTATTTTTGAGTGAGCTGATAGATTTTCACAATATTTTAATATCTAACAAATAGTATCATGGTTTACATCCTACTATTTGAATAACAACATGAATAACAACACAGTTCACTACCACTGAACTGTGGCACAATAAAGAATATATCTGTTCCCTGTCTCATGTTCCTGGCACAGAGATTCACAAACCTTTGGAACTTCTTTGTGATAGGGGTACATTTCTTACGCTAATGGGGTGACTCATAGTGAGCCACCAGATAGCTTGAATATAGAAACCTTTTCCAGAAAGACCAAGCATGACTGAGCCAGTCCAAAAACCATGGAGGGGAGGGCGGTTGAAGACAGAGGTCAATCACATGGTCAATGGCTTATTTATGTCAAGCACACCTAAATTATGAAATCTCAAAAAACACTGAACACCAAAGCTTTGTGAAACTTTGTGGTTGATCAACATGCTGATGTGCCAATAAGATTACATGCCAATATTCCACAAGGAGAAATCACAGAAGCTCTGGGATCCCTCTCAGACCTCACCCTATGTAGTTCTTCATTTGATTCTTCATGATCTGTGTCATAACACAAAATATAATATATATAAAACACAAAACTGTGATGTTTAGTGCTTTAATGAGTTCTGTATATCTTTTCAGTGAACTACTAAGTCTGAGGCAGGTTGTACAAACTCCTGAATGTATAGTCGGTTGGTTAGAAGTATAGGTAATATGTCTAGCTTCTGAAGTAAGATCACTCTTGTGAAGGAATGAGCCCTTATACCTATAGAGTTTGATGCGAACTCTGGGTAGTTAGTGTCAGAACTGAATTGCAGTACAGCTAATTGGGGTGGGAACAGAATAAAAACTATTGACAAATGATCTCAGTGGACAGGTTTAGTGGCAGACTGGAAACAAAGTGTAAATAAAGAGATATGTCAATAGAAAGTATATAAACTAAAGTATAGAATGAAAAAAAAATGAGTGAATTATGTATATAAGCCAAAAGGATACTTGAAGATAATGGCAGACCATTGCCTGAAACTGATAAAAGACATCAATCTACAGACTCAATAAGCTCAGTAGTTGCACAGTATTATATAACAAAGAAAACCACTTCTTTGCACATCATATTTAAACTGTTGAAAATCAAAGACAAAGAAAAACCTTAAAAGCACTTAGAGAAAAAGGACACAGTACTTCCAAGAAAACAGTTGCAAGATATTTGCCTAGCTTCTGAACACAAAAAAATGGAAGTAACAGTAGAAATAGGCATTTTAGAGAGCCTTGGAACCTATTAAAAATATCCTTATGAAATAATGATGTTTAGATAAATAAAAACTAAGAAACATCAGCAAACTGCACTGAGCAGAATTCATCAGTCAGGAGGAAAATGATGGCAGGGAAAAGCATGGCCATACAGGTAGGAATGAAAAGCACCTAAAGATTAGTATGTAGAAATACATATGTAAAATGCCCACCATGTTAGAAAGAAAATACTACTAATGTATCATGGAAAAGAAAACCTCAGATCCTGACATTTTCATTAGATATTCCTACTAAACATTTAAGAAAGAAATTAACACTCATTCCAGGGATGCATGGCAATTTGACATTTAAGAGATGAATCAATTTTTATTAACTGTATCGAAAGAAGGAAAACAGAACTCAATAGATCAACAGCATCAGTATAAATATTTGGTAAAATCGGAGTTACTGTCATGAGAACAATTAAGCAACTGCAATTAGAAGGAAACATCCTTAATATAATCAAGATTATTCTGCAAATTCCTCAATGATGAAATCTTAAGAAATATTCCCCTGAGATTAGATATGAGAAATATAGCTGAAACAGAGACTAGAGTGGTAGTTGCTAGGGGCTGAGAGGTAAAGGTAATGGGAAGATATTGGTCAAAAGGTACAAACTTCCAGTTATAAAGGTGAGTATGTTCTGTGCATCTAGTATATAGCAGGATGACTATAATTAACAATCCTGCATTTTAGACTTGAAAATTGCTAAGAGAGTAGATCTTAAAGATGCTTACTACAAAACAAAAAAATAGTTACATGTGGTGATGGATATGTCAACTAATCTTATTGTGGTAATCACTTTGTAATATATGTATATATCAAATTTTCATGTTATACATCTTAAGCTTACGTGTTATATGTAAATTATATCCTTAGAAAGCTGTACAAAATGAAATGAATTGTCCTTAGACAGATATTCTCTACCAGCAATCCTATTCATCACTGTACTAAGATATGAACTATAAATATTTGATTTTTATAGATTTATAGATTTTCATGCAGAGAAAATCTAAAAAGCCCTACAAACTTTTAGAAGAGAATTGGTCAAGGTTGCTGTAAGTTCAGAATACAAACAAAAAACTGCTGTCTGATTGTGCAGTTTTTATAAAAGATTAGACTAACAAAATCTTAAAATCTAAAATGTGTCTGCACTACAACTGCTTTTTATTCTTTTTATTATTGTCTCAATATTTGAGTTACTTTAAAGAAATTCAAATGGTTACTTACAACTCATAAAGGATACAGTTAATGTAGAAAACATATATGTTTAACAACTGGTGAACAAATAAACTGTAGATTTAAAAATAAAATACTTTTGTGGGCCTTCCCTGGTGGCGCAGAGTTAAAGTGCAGCACCATGAAGACAGCCATAGCTACTTCAGCACAAGTTCAATCCCTGGCCAGGGAGCTGACCCACATGGCGCAGCAGACCTCTCCTGTCTCAGCCGCTGCTCTCAGCAGTGTACTCCATCAATCTGCCTGTTGTGCTTTTCCACTCTGTCTCTGGTGGATCTTCTCACCGCCCTTGCACCTCTAACCTGTACCATAATTCTGTATGCATAAATCATCTTAAAAAATACTTTTGCATAATTCCCCATTTTAAATTCACTTAAATTAGTCTGGGCTAAATATAGGATTTAAGAGCACTTTTGTTATATATAAGTTAAATTATGTACCTCTTGCCCCACATCCATGTGAAGTCCTAAACCTCACTAGCCCAGAATATAACTTTATTTGGATATAGTTTGCTGAAGATATAGTTAGTTAAGACAAGATCATACTGAAGTAGGGTGGACCCCAATCCAACATAATGGCTATCATTATAAAAAGGGAAATTTGGACAGAGACAAGCTAAGTAATGTCAAAGGTTGCCAACAAACCAGCAGATCCTAGAGGAGCAGCAGGGAGCAGGGCAGACTTTTCCTCACAGTTTGCAGACATCTGGATCTTAGATTTCTAGCTCCCAGAAATTTGAGAAAATAAAATTTCTGCTACTTAAACTACCCACTTTGTGGTATTTTGTGATACCAGCCTGACAAGGAAGTGGGGTCTACTGTAACAAATAATTAAAAATATAGAAGTGACTTTGGAATTTGGTATTAAGTAAAGGTTGAAAGGCTTTTGAGGTACATAATAGAAAAAGTTTAGGTTGCCCTGACAAGAATGTTGGCAGAAATAGGAATTTTGAAGGAGAATCTGTTGAGGGCTCAGAAAGAACAGTGCTACAGGGAAAGAGTCTGTTGTCCTAGAGAATACATACATCATCATGAACAGAATTTGCTGGAAATATGAATGTGAAAGATGCCTTTGGTGAGGTCTGAGACAAAAGGCGAACCTTATTATGAAATGGCAAAGAACTTGGCTAAATTATGTTTGATAGAAGAAATGTGACACTTGAAAGCAATAATCCTACACATTTAGCTGAATATATTCCTAAGCAAATTGCTGAAGACAAAGCCTAGATTTTCTTTGCAGCTTATAGTAAAATGCAAGAATGGAAAGTTGAGAAAGAATTACAGAAAAAAAAAAGGAACCAGATCTTCAATATTAAAAAAATTCACATCTCTATTCACAGTGCAAAAAATGAGGAAGTTTTCTCTGGAGAAAAACACCACAGGTGTTGCTGGACAACCATTTCCTCAAGAGATTATGCTAGTGACTTGTGGAACTAATCAACCATCTCAGTAGGCATTCTGCTAGTTCTAAAAGGGACCTAGGTGGGATGAAATGAAGTAAGGCTGTTGAAACTTCTGGGATCCTTCAGTCAGTAAATAAACCAACAGAGAAACCCAGCTATGATCATGTGTCACCCTTCAAGGAAAGGGAAGAATGACTTTGAGAGCAAGGCCACTTCTGCAGCTCCCAGAGGGTGAGGCCACCACTCGGAGCTATGGCAGTGGAGCCACCATCCTGATGGGCCCAGTGGACACAGTATTGAGCCAGAGAGGACAGTTATTGACTCTTCAAAAATCAATGGGAATTGGCTCTGTTAGGTATCACACAATTGCTTGTGACCCACGGTCCCTTCTTCTTTTTTTTTTTTTTAAATAACAGTTTATTTTTACATCATTTTGTGTCTTTTTCCATCTTAGTTGTAATCCCCATGGATCCTGCTCTCTTCTTTTCTTTCAACATCTCCCTTTAAGAAAGGGTGTGCCTAAACTAGGCTTGTTCTACTGTTATATTTTAGATAGAAACATGTTTAGTTGACAGAAAGCAAAGATTCAGCCTCAGGTAGAACAATCCCACATATCTCCATGCGATTCAGATGAGTTTCAGATGAGATGTTCAAATGGGTATGCAGTGATGGGATAAATGTATTTTGCTCAAGATATGAATTTTGAGGGACCAAAAGGCAGAGTAGAATGGATTGAATTATATTTCTCCCAAATACCAACACAACTATCAATATGTACCCAAGTGTGTGTGTGTGTGTGTGTGTGTGTATACACACACACATATACATATATATATATTTAAAGATTTATTTATTTATGCATACAGAACTGGGGTGTAGGCCAGAGATGCAGGGGGTGAGAGGGTCCAACAGAGACAGAGAGGGGAGCAGAACAGGCAGATATACTGAAATACACTGCTGAGGGGAGCAGTGGGCAGGTCAGGAGAGGTCTGCTGTTCCATGTGTGTCACCTCCCTGGCTGGCGATTGAATTTGTGCTGCAGTGGTTGTGGCTGGCCACCAGGGAGGGCCTCCAAGTATATTTTTAATGACCCTTAGAGTGTGATCTTATTTGGAAATAGTCATTAACAATATATAATTAGGTAATTAAAGATGAGACTACTATGGGGTAGACCAGTACTTGAGTGGGTCCCTAATCCAGTATGAAAGATATCCTTCTAAAGAGTGAATATTTGGATACAGACTGCACACAGAAAGAATATCATATTAAAAAGAAGATAGAGAGTAGGCAGATGCTTCTCTAAGCCAAGGATAACAGAGAGATTGCCACAAAAGCACCAGAATCTTAGAGGAGAAGCACCAGAGCCCTCAGAAGGAACTCACTCTGCTGATACCCTGACTTTGGACTTTTAGCTTCCAGAACTGTGAAACAATAACTTTCTGTTGTTTAAGCCACTCAGTTGTGTTATTTTTATCATGACAGCCTTATAAAAGAAACACAGCTTCTAGTGCAATTGTTCGTATTATAAGATAGAGACAAACTAAAAGAAAATGAATATGCTGCTATCTGTATACTTAAAAGAAATTACTTACAGCTTGTCATATGGGCCTTGCAGAATTCTTTTCTTTGTTGTAGGGCTCAAACTTGTATATGTAGCTGGATAATACTGAGAGCTCACAGGATCATCATCTTGATGCCGCTTACCATCTCTTCCCTGACTTGGACTTTCTCTAGCTGCTTGGGATGTTGAGGGTTGGTTAGCATTCTAGAACCAATAATTTAGAGAAAACATTTAAAGCTAAGTCGTAAACTCATTTCTCTCTTAAAAGACTAAAACTTTACTTGGTTTTCATTATCTTAAGATTTGTGACAAAACTTTGCAATCTTAACAGTGCTTTTATAAAGATTTATCCTAGTCCATTTAACATAGAAATATTTTTAAAAGGTGGTACGTATAAATCCTATTTATATTAGCATAGTGGGAAAGTTTTATTAGATGTTTATTTCCATATGGATAGTAATTCCAGAAGTGGTTCTTAAAAAGATAAACTCTTGGGTCCAGATGTGGGAATTTATCTCGCAAGAGTCATTGTTATCTCTTACACAATCTAGGACACATAGAGAGGTTAGAACTTCCCACAGAAGCATTCTTATGACTCTGGCCTGAACAAAAGGAATGAAAAAAATAAAACTGTGTATACCAGCTGAAAATGTAAGTAAAGATAATCACTACTTAAAAAAATTTAAGTAAAGGCTCAAGTTATGCATGAAGCAAAAGCAAGATAACAAGTTTTGGGGACGTGGGGAAATAGGCTATGATCTTCAGGCCAACCTACTCTGCAACAGATGACAGAAAAGAAAACAACTGAAAAACAACATGAATCATTTTCTCCTAGGTTTACATCATTAAAAGTCAATACATGTAAGTTCTCAATAAAATGGAAAAAGGTACCAATTGTAATTATGACCACAGTGCTTTCAGAGATGCACTATTCATTCTCTGGCACCATACCCGAAGTGTTTCTGATGTGGAGGCACTTTCAGTTGCACCGCTATGGGGGATATACTTTATAACAGTAATTATCCCCTGAATTGCAATACGCTTTTGTTCCCTATACTGCAAGTCTTCAATCTCCTTCCTCACTTCACTTATAGCTGTCAAGAGCGACTCAACTGCAAAAGAGTAATTCCAAGGAAATTGTAAGATTTAAAGAACTGAAATGATAAAAATAAGAGTTAGATTTGCAATGCAATTTCACATTGTGGAATTATAAAGTTGATACAAAATTTATACTTGTAAGACTTTGTCTTTATGTTTGCCATCCCTTATGTAATTTTTATAAAATAGGTAAAACATGTTTATCAGTTAAATTGTGATACAGTCTTCTAGTCTGGAGTCTTAATCTGAGATAGACATTTTGCATATTCAATGTGTATGTCATATCTATAAGTACAAAGTGTTGTCTATCTATGGCATAGAAATATTGCATATTTGAACATTTTCAACCATATACTAAATGTAACTATTACTACCATAATTAAGTACAAGAGAATGCCAATATTTAGATGATAGGTCTGTATTTCAGAGTCTCCTTTTTTCCAAAACCATGCAATTATCTCATAGCTTTTTAAAAAGAATATACTCCTGTTAAACTTTCAACTGTAAAATCTTAATTCTGTTAAAAAGAAATTGTTAGGCCTCCCCTGAATACTTGTTCTGCATATTATTTATTTTGGTGTCATTTTTATTTAGCGAATACTCAGTTGCGTTACATCAAAAGTGTCATTCCACAATGTAGCATAATAGAGTTGTCAGTATTTTGATATTAAATTGTCTAGTATCTTCTTTAGGTATCTTTATTCTGTCTATGTAGGGTCATAGCAGAAGCTCAGATTTGATCTTAATGACATTAAATGAAGATATTATCTCCAGTTAGTCAACACCTATGTTCTCTTCTTCCAGTCTAATAAAATCAAAGTATTAGTCTTTAGGAGGAGGCACGTCATGTATTTTAAGGTCTTTATAAAGACAAAATGACATCAGCACATGTTGCCACACTTCAGCTCTGTCCCATATGGGGAAAAGACAACTACCTGATATGGCACATTTCACACACCTAGCATGTAGACACATCATAAAGACCAGCGATTACATTAATACCTTTAACAGAACTACTATACTTCAGAAATGTCTCTGGCACTGGTGGGTAGGGGTAATATCCACCAATAACAGTATTCTTCACTTCCTCGGAATCGGTCTTTGCTTTAATCCACTGAATAAAGTTTTTTACCTTGGTATCATTGGTATATGGCTGGCCTCTATGACCTCTTTTCAGGAAGGATAAAGAGCAAAAAACAAACAATACACACAGAAAGAGAAAAAACACAACTCACTGTAATAAACTGCAAGACTTTTTTTGTCTAAGAACAATTTAACATTTAAACAGTCTATTTTATGTCACTAAAATAAGTTCACACTCATTTATTCAATATGTAGAAGATAATTGTACATAGTATGCCACAAAATTATCAGACAGTAATTAAATCCTAAGTTGTGAAGGATCAGACATATTAGCCATTAAATGGACTAAACTCCAGCTATCTACAGTATATTGAAAAACTGCAAGAAAAAGAGGACAACTTAAATTTTTCTATCCAAGTGATCAACATGTTCTAAAAAAAACGATTTTTAAATCATGTACTAGCCACAAAGTGGTTAATTTTTTTATCATGTATGAAAAAAACTGTCTATGAATATAGCTTAGCCTTTAAATTCATGTTCTTAAGACATATTAAAGGTACCAATTATATCTGATATTATTAGTATATCTTTATATCTAATACTATTAGTATTTATAAAATAAGGCACTGAAAAAGATATGTGCTACATCTTTCCTAGGACTCTTCTTCCTTATTATCATTATATTTCCTAACTGATTTGGAAATTTTTATCTGCTTTGATCCTTTATCAGTGGGAATAGAAAAAAAATAATGTGTTTGTAGACATGTAGTGAGACTCTTCTTGCTATGAGGTAACTTATGAGATCTAGGGCCAAAATTCGATGTATAGTTTTGCTTTACTTTGTCTTTAAAAATGATTGTTAATTGAATCCATATTGTGGCATAGGGCCTAACAGTCTTTAATCTATCAATGCAATTGATGGTTATCTACCTTCTACATTAAGCAGAGATTAAAGTAATCCAACAGACATAAATGTTGTGATCCAACAGACATAAAAGCCATTCTCCAGTGAGTCACAAAATCATTGGTTCAATTATAAATAACCTAGGAATAATAAATTTCATCAGCTAAATACTTTCTGTTAAAACATTCTTAACCTGATAAAGGAGGTCAAGATAAAGTTGTGTGGTTGAATGATATACTGCAAAAAATTAATAAAGATAAAATAGATACAATTCTAAGAAAGTATGTTCAAAAACTTGCTCACCAGTAATAAACACTCGACTTTCATTCGTAGTGGTGAGGTAAAGCAGTTTAGGTACTTGAGTGCTGTTCCTGACAACTTTCAACTGTGTACATACAAAGTAAGTCACTGTAGGGATAGAAAAGACTTATGAAATCACTTCTGTATTATTTCAGAGGACATCCAAGATCTAACACAAGAATCTCAAAATGTACACAGGCATCCTCTGGGGAAACTGACAATAGTTAAAATTCAAACTCAGTTCAGTACTAGCGAGGTGAGGCTTCAGACTCTCCATTTCTAGTAAGCTCCTCTGTGACACGGTGCAAGTCCCTGGACACCACTTGAAACATCAAGGCCATCACACTTACCTTTCCTTTCAGGTAAAGGATCTAACACTTTTTCTTTGGAACATACAATAGCTGCACCTAACTGAAATCACTACTTGCTGCACAGCAAGAGGCTTTCTAATTGGGCACAAAAATGAATGTGAACATTTATCTCCTACAAAGAAAAAAACCTTAGTTTTTCCATGCTGCTTTCACTTCTTTACCCAGTCTAACACTGACTCCTTACACCAGATGGGGCTAAAGAATCCATTTGCATTTGCTTATGCAGGTGTTTTGTATCTCATGTCTTGATCTTAATCTTTTAGTGTTAATGCCAGTGCTAAGCTAATACCACCATTCTTTTCTGTTTATCATGTTAAGCAACTTGATAGACAAAAAAGCATCCTTGAAAATGAGATTATGGGCTCTCCCTGGTGGCACAACTGGTTAAAGCACAGCACTATGAAGCTCACCAAAGCCATTGTTGCTCGAGTTTGAGCCCAGGCCAGGGAGCTGACCCACATGGCATGGCAGACCTCTCCTGTCTCACTCGTTACCCCAATTAGCAGTATATTTCAGTACATCTGCCTGTTCTCTTCCCCACTCTGTGTCTGGTGAATCCTCTCCCCCTCCCCCACCTCTGGCCTGTACCCCAGTTCTGTATGCATAAATAAAAAAATCTTTAAAAAAAAGAAAATTAGATTATAATGCCTTCAGATTTCAATTACTTTCAGAAGCTATCGCTAGCTTTTAATTCACTATCCATTATTTGGGTTAAGTTTCATTAAGTCAGTATTTTTTACTTTAACTCACCATATGCTAGAACAGTTATGGTCTTACAAATTAGCATATTAAGAAATACATGTAATTACGTGAAATTCAAAATAACTGTTAAGTTCTCATATGAGAATAAATAACTCCCAAGAGCAAGATAAAAACTATAAATTCATATCCAATATCTCACATTTACTAGCTCTTCATTTTGTAGTAATGAAAATAAAAGAAATTCCTTAAATAAGAATAATTTTCTTAATTGATATTGCTTTTTCTTTATTTAAAAGACTGTATAAATATGTGAATATTTATAGAGATATTGACATTGGGATATTAAAAAACCTACTAGTTGTAATTTCATGGTTTCGAAGAATCATATATTCAGAACCTTATACTTTCTACCTGGAAATTACTTAAACCCTCTAAGCCTTTGTTTCCTCCTCTGTAAGTCTGTACAAACATAACTTTTTAAAAATGTCATTGGGAACACAAATAAGATAACATCTATGAGCTTTTGGTACATGGTAAATACAATAATAGCCTTAGTTCTTCACTTTCCTTAGTCAAAGATGATAAAAGTACCCTACTACTGATGGATTCTGGTATACCTGAGACCCTGAGTCACATTTCCTTCCCTAGGCCTGAGGCCCCCCAACTCACCATTCATTTAATGATTTTTTAAATTTACTCTTGGTTTAAAATGAAAACAAATTGTGATTGTTGTCAACTATTGTATTAGAGTAAATCTCACTAAGGTCAATTCAACCCCCCCTTTTTTTTTTGAAAGATTTATTTATTTATGCATACAGAACTGGGGTATAAGTCAGAGGTTGGGGGGGGGGATGAGAGGCTTCACCAGAGACAGAGTGGGGGAGTAGAACAGGCAGGTCGAAGAAGTACACTGCTGAGGGGGGCAGAGGGCAGGTCAGGAGAGGACTGCCGCGCCATGTGGATCACCTCCGGGGCAGAGGATCGAACTCGTACTGAAGCAGCTGCAGCCAGCTTGCAGTGCTGCATCCTAACCCATTGCGCCACCAGGGAGGGCCTCCTCAACCCTTTCTTAGGAAGATATATTTCACATTATTACAAGAAATGGAACATGCATGCTTTGCAAAGTTTCTGTGAGGAATCTTTACCCAAAACTTATGTCAGCTTGTTTCAAGGGGCTATAAAGAGAGAGGGCCCTGGCCACCTAAAATGAGGTAACTGAATTGTCAGCAGATATCATAACTATCAATCATTAATTCCCTAAGAGAAGTTCAAGAAGAGGTCTTAGCCTGACTCATCTTAGAAGCCTCAGTTATGGCTAAAATTCTTTCTACCCTCTTCCCAATAACCAGGGTGAAATTCAGTTCTTTTCGATATATTTAAAAAAAATGTCATCTCATAAACAGAAGGTGGACTCTAATGAAGTAATGTCTGGATGGTGTGTAATACTGGTTTGCAACAGAGGATAAAAGTGTGGCGGAACAACCCTGTATAAGGTCTCTAGATATCCTGTGGTGTAAATTTCTACCTTATTCCTGGTTAAAAAAACTACGTGTAGTCAAGACTGGGAATTTCCCTGATGCTGGCAAGCAGTTAACAATAGGTATTTCATTGATATAATAATTTGGAAAACAATAAAATAGCATACCATCTCTAAAACAGCTTTATGCTCCAAATACAAATAAGGAAAAATTCACTGAAGATTAACTTGTTATATAGTAGGATAATGGGATGTTGCTAAAATGTTTTCAAATAAATAAAATTAGTGGGAAAATAACCTACATATCTGAATGCATTTGGCAGGGCAGAGGATTAACGCCAAAGTAAGTCAAATATTGACCAGCTATTACACCACCACCTATAATTAATTTAACACGCAAATGGAAAAGATACTTAGCATTTTCATTATTTAATCACACAGTACCAAGCCTGTACCAATTAGTAAAGTCTTCTTTGAATTTAATGAGGTCTTAGTCAATTTTCAAATGGATACAAAGTGAATTAACTGTCTATGTTTCTAGTTTCAGGAAATCTTAAATTTTAATGCTTCAAATGCTAACAAATATTAATAAGAACACCTGTTTTTTGTTAACTACCTTCAATCCCTGAATAGAAAACTAACGTGATAATAATTATAATACGAAATATAATGTTAACATAGAAAAGATTTAAACATGCTATCAAACTGACTGCCTGATTTTCTAACTCAATGTCACGCTACTGTCACTTTACCATTTGTTCAGGTTAATATTCACAATTTCAAGAATAAAAAGATAAAGATATTAGAATTGAGTACTTGGGTAGATATTTTCAAAGATTTCTGGCTGAGATGTAGAAAACAGTTCCACTATAAAAGGTTGTTCAGAAGTTCCATCAGCAATGTGAATCCAGCGATATGACCAAAAATCTTCACGGCTTTCTATGAAAATAAATGAACATAATTGAGTATATACATCTAAATCCACAGCTATTCACTGAAATACTTTTTATGACTTTCAACTTTAAGAGCTTACCTTTCTTTTTTAACCTCTGAACCCTTCCTACAAAAACTAAAATGCCAATAACATCACAAATATGATTTTCTGGCATATCATCCAGTTCTGATCTAGAAAAAGCAAAATTGTTAAGTAGATAATGTATCTTTAAACAGTGAAAAAGCATTCCACAATTACAACTGTGAAAATGTACATCTATATAAATGATACAGCACAATTTGGGTACACTTTGAGGTAATTATAATGCATTGCTTCTGTGATTAACACTAAAAAATATTTAAGACATTTCAAAGAAACTATTTTACCTCGTGATAAAGCGATGATTTAATTTTGGCAATCTCCATTCCGGCTTCACCTGCTTCTCTGGAATGATAATTATATTAGTTGGAGGATCTCGAAGGTTCAGGCAGATTTCTGAAAAATATATATATAACTTTAGTATGATGCTCAATACATATAAAAATTTACATGTGTATGAAATACACAGCAAAATAGACTGAAACATCTTGAGCCTACCACTAAATATACCTAAGAATGAGACCATCATCAGTAGCTTTCTTCCACCTCCATCATCACATCCACTTATTCAAAAGTTTAACCATAACTTAAATTTTGTATTTTATTATTTCCTTAACTGAAAACAAAAAAATGGTTTTATCATTTATGTGTTTTGCCCAAACAAAACATTGACTTTCTTTGTTTTTGAATTTTATATGAATGGAATCATACTCTATACAGTATTCTAGAACTATTTCTTTTCACTTAACATTTTGATTGTAAAATTCATCATGTAGTTGTATATAGCAGGATTTGTTCTCATTTCTATTGCTGAATAATGTTCCAGAGTGGTTAATATAACTTATTACTCAGTATTGATTGGTGGGTATCTAGATTATTTCCAATTTTTGCTTTTACAAACAGGGTCACTACAAACATTCTTAACATCTCCCTGTGTACAACACCAACAATTTTTCCTAAGTATTATACCTAGGAGACAGACACTGGATTGTCTTATTTCAATATGCAAATGTTCTACAGGATAATGCTAAATTATTTTAAGTAGTGAATCCATTTGGAGTTCTGCCAGCAATATAAGAATTCCTGTTGAGCCACATCCTCTCCAAAAGAAGTGACCACTTATTTTGGTCACTCTAGTAATATGATAGATTGTTCTGGTCATTCCTTACTCCTTATTATTCTGAACATCATTTCACACATATATGGTTCATTCATGCTCCTGTGCAATACCTGTTTGTATTTTTTTCTATTTTCCTATTGGACTGTCTCAAGTCTATTTACTAAATGGCTCCTCCATTCTTGATGATCTATAGAACACATATATATCAACATTTTCTATGTCTAGGATTGTTTCTTGACTCTGACTTGCTGGTCAGTTTGTCTGTTCATGAACTATTGCTTCATAATAATTCTTGATGTTTGTAGGACAAGTCCTCACTCCTGCCCTATCCCCTATTCTTTTCTTTAAAAATATCTTCATCATGGGAGACTTGGTGATGGGAAACCTGCGGGGATTACAATCGAGATGGAAAAAAAAATGTACAAAATGATGTAAAAATAAACTTTTGTAATAAATAAATCTTTAAGAAAAAAAAACATCTTCATATACTTGAAATTACAAGCTTCCCTATGAATTTTAGAATCCGTTTGTCAGTTTCATAAGAAAAATCTGACAGAACAGCACTGAATCTATCAATAAAGTTGGGGGGACTTTACATATTTATGAAATTGAGACCAACTTCTTTTGTGGGAC